TTAAGGGCTATGAAGCGAGGTGCCTTCTTTCGGTGGCATATTAGAAGATGCTGTTTTCCTACAGCAAAGCATTTAGCAGTACATGGTAGAGGAACCTGAAGAAACTCGTGGTCTGTGAATGAGAATTATCTACTACAAATTTGTAAGGCATTTTATATGTTCTAGTCGGCTCGCCGGCTGACGCCGGCGCGCCTCACTCTGTGATGCGACCAGGCTTCCCATGGTGGGCGCCCCTTTTTTCATATGCTTTATTATTCAACTAATACACGGCTTTTCTGTCACCTGTATTCACGTCAATGCTCCTTAACGATAGCATCACACCAGCTACTTTCAACAATATTACCGTCTACTGAATTGTGATAAGAGGGTTGATCAAGAGCCAAAATGACAGAAAAAGCAGGTTTGAATAGTCTAACAAGTATCTCGCATCGAAACCGCATCCGCCTGGCCAAAGCGGGTCGTATCACAGGAGGCGCACCAGCGGAAGAAAAATGTGAGGGAAAGGCTAATTATAGCTTGGGAAACGGAATCTAGGAATTGTCTGCAAACACTGCAAACTACCGCAACGATATGTCGCTGCGGAAAACAAACCTTTGTCCATATATCGACACGATCGTTCAGCACCAAATGACGGCGGGACCTTTCGGCAATGGTTTTGTTCTTCATCTTAGGAACTTCTCCGGAATTCCTTGCACTCGACTAAACGTGAGGTTTTAATGGAAATAGTTGCCAGATTGAGAAAAAGAGTTCGACACATTTCATCATACTTCGTCCTTTCAAGAGAGTTGGGTGTAGCACGTTTTGCTGCAACAGATACTCATAAGCAATCGTGACTGGCTCTGCTGCTTGAATTGTATCGCTCGGGTCATCAACGATTTCCGTCAACTGCTCACGTTCCCGACTGGTAGTATCATGAGACTCCGCTGAACTACCATCAAGCGCGTGCTCTTCACTTTGACCTGAAATAAGAACCCTCAATAATGAATCTGCATAAATGAACCCATAAATACCTCACAAACCATGCTCAGGGCTCGACGTTCCCACATCAGCAGAAGAATCATTTTTTGGTGAAGAGCTGAAGCTCACAAGATTCTGTTCTTCTGATTGTAAATGATCATCTACACTTTTCGGGCTCCCTCTGGAACTCCAAGTAGGAGTGCTGTTGAAGCTGACACCAGATACGCATGGGCTAGCGGTTGAAAATGCGTCTCCTAGAACTGAAATGGAAACATTTCGAAGAGCTATTAAATTTTCAATCATTATTCGATATTCAGGACACATTTTATCGGACCTCCTTGTACGTTTGGTAGAGTACCCTCTCAAGACAGGGACATCTTACATTCGCTATTGTGTGGAAAACATTTGGCGTCTGCGATAACCGTAGGCTTTACAGGCCGATTCGCGACAGGCGCCTGTATAAGGCGTTATGGCACCAGGAGAGTACGATAATCGTGTTCATGAAGAAAAAACGCTGACAAAATCTTTAACGAGTTTTGCGAGTTGAGGCTTTTGCATAGGTGTCACACGTTTTCATACAAACGTACCAAGGTCGCGTGCCAAAGTCCAAAAAACCCCTGGATACAAATTTTAGTCTTAAACTACCGGTTGAGTATTTAGTGGCTGATCCGAGTGTATACCATTTTCACTTTAAATCGGACACTTTTCAAACCAAATCGGACACTTTTCAAATCAAATCGGACACACCCCTTACAATTAGGTGGTTGATAACTAGACCACACTAGGTACTGTTGCAAGCCCCGCCCCATTATCCCCGCCCATTTCTCAGCGCGGACAGGGTTTTCCGAGATGCTTCATGAAATCTGCTCCCTCGACTTTTTTTCGTTTTTGCCCTTTGCACACACACACACGCACAACTTCAGCAACTGAAGAAAAGATCGATACCTATACGCGATACTTGACTCCGGCCCACTTAACAATGAAAAGATAACGTAAGTTTCTGAATTTTATCAAACTTTTTTCGAGACGTAGTTCTTTTCACACCTGAACTTCACAAAACGAATAACCATGCATAGCACACCAGGCCCCGCCCCTATGACCCCGCCCACTTGCGTTTATCGCGCGGATATTTGCGTTTTTCTTCCGGATTTTCGCTTTTTATAGGTTCAGAGATTGACTCCGCTTCACCAATGGGAAGTCTCGCCCAAACATTGTGGAGGCCCCGCCCACTTTCGAAAATGATGCAAAAATCGGCGCGGCTAACTGTCGCGTACTGGCGGATACGGCTCCCCAGGCACCAGAGAATAAAAAAACGCGGAAAAGACCGCCGAAAAAATGCAAATCTACTAGCGACGAGGAAGGCGTCGTAATCGCCAGTGACGGGACACTCAGGCCCGCCGATTCGATCATTTTCCGAAAACTGGGCCGGGGCCTCCCCCAAAGTGGGCGGAGCAGCCTTCAATGTTGGTGTGCGGAGCCAATCGCTATAAGCATAAAAGAGCGAGAACTCGTAAGAAAAACCATTCCGCGATAAACACAAGTGGGCGGGGTCAGATGGGCGGAACCTGGTGTGCTGTGCATGGTTATTTCGTTTGTGAAGAATAGCTGTATGTGAAAAGGACCAGGCGTCGAAAAAAGTTACTAATAAATACATTCTCGAGAACTTATGTAACTTCTTGCTCTAAGCTGGGCGGAGTCAGCACCTGTATACAGTTACTCAAATTCTTTCAGTTTATTTGCCCATGTGTAAAAAGGGCCAAAACGAAAAAAAGTCTGACGGGAAGCAGATTTCACTGCAAGCATCTGGGAAAACCCTGGTCCGCCCATGAAAATGGCCCGCGCGCGATCAATGAGGCTTGCAGTCGCTTGCAACTACAAGTACCTAGTGTGGTCTAGTTATCAACCACCTAGCTGTAAGGGCCCTGCAACATAACCGTGTCCCGTCGCTAGAGGGTCGTGTCCGATTTGGTTATGAAACAGTGGATTTCATCGATTTGCCGCTTTGAAAAGTGAGGTCTCGATTTAGTCTATTGAACAAAGTGTCCCGATTTTAAAGTGAAAATCGGTTATATATTACCGCGAGACGATTCCGTTAAAAACAGCTGATCTGAATTTTTGAAAAAAGGGCTCACTTTAAGGTCCGCCGCCTACCATAGCCTGTTCGTGAAGAAATGCAGAAATGCGGAAAATGCAGAAGTGCGGAAAGTGCAGAAGTGCGGAATCTGCAGAAAAGCAATAGATACTTATCGACTTGAAGAAATGCAGAAATGTCAACTGCAGAAGTGCGGAAAGTGCAGAAATGACGAAAAGCATTACATACGTATCGATTTTAAAGAAATGCAGAAATGCCGAAAGTGAAGAAATGCCGCTGAATCAGCCGACATGTCTGAAAGTGGGCAAAGTGCCAGCAAAGCAACCGATACGTTATCGATTTTCCCCCCGCACTTCGGCACTTTCTACAGAAATTCCGCCACTTCTTCACTTCCCGGCAATTTGTGCATTCTTCAGTCGATAAGCATCTATTGCTTTTCTGCAGATTCCGCACTTCTGCACTTTCCGCACTTCTGCATTTTCCGCATTTCTGCATTTCTTCACGAACGCAAGCTATGAGACGCGGCAGAGAGCTAAATGACTGACACCCAATGAGAAAAATCCCTCCGTCAACCAGAACAAGCAGCGTATAATCCACGGCTATGAGCATATTGATCGAAGAGCCATTAAAGTATTCTCATCGATGGAGATTGAATCTTCTTGTAGACTTTCTCTAACTTCATGAGATTCAGGATCGGACAATATCTTACGACGAGATCCCCTTTCTTTGCGCACCACAGCAACCGGAGATGGCTCCTCGATGGCTTCTAGAAAAGAACGAATTCAGTGACTTTAGCAGAAACAAAACGTAACGATAACGGCAATCTGTCAATAGGTCCACGTTACACTGGTTAGAGCGAGACGCACAATAATTATTATTTCCAGGCTAGTTCGACATACCGCAGCATTTTCCGTTAAACCCTACACTAGCGCGAATCTGCGCATGCGACACAGACCTCGCAAAAGACTCAACGAGAGCAGAAAACTAACTGCAATTTAGGGAAATGGAACAAGAATCGAGCCGCAAAATGACCAATCGAATATCATGTCTGCCGCTAAAATGACATTTAATTTACTTTAGCTCCCAAATTCCTCATCCTGTCAAAGTCGTGATGCAGGGGAACCACTTGCCACTCCTTAATCATCTGCTCGCGAAGTTTTGAAAGTAAACGCATTGTGCGCTTTGCGATCACTACAACACTTCCGACCCCTCTAACAATGTCTGTCTGTGCACATTTCCCTTACGAGCATGTAGTTACTCAATGCTTTTTCACCAAAAGGAGGAACCATCGTTATTATTTTTATCGAGAAACCTGAGACACAGATCAAGCACATTAAGAGTTTTTCCACAATTAGGCTTACCCGGACAAAAAGGGCTTACCCGAAAAAAAAGGAAAAAGAGAGCTAAATTCCGAACTGTCAATGGTAACGCTTACCATAGGCATGATCCGGAACACGAGAAATATCACTAGATCTAGATTCGTCACGTTGGACCTGAAATTGAAAATGTGACAATTCGTTCGCAAAAGGAAGCTCGTTTCAATCAAAACTCAGCGCAGCGACAGAACTGTTCTTGGTCAGCTGTCAGGCTAGCGTGTGTTCATCGACACTGTCAAGACACGGTCAAGGGAAGAGCACAGAGGCTAGTCTAACGAAAATGTGTTGAGCACTAGAGGCTGTAGTGGGGCATATGCTAAGCAAGCGTCCGGGCTCGGAAGAGAAAGGCTCTGATAGTAACCCCAGTTCTTCGTCAATGAGCCTCTTGCACCTTTTGAGATATAATAACGTACGAAGACATTTCCATCATCCACTGGATCGACTATATCTACCACATTCTGTAGGAAGGTACCAAGATCTTCTTTTATATTTATTTTGCTCCATGCATCTTCTAATATATAAGGAACTGAAAGTCATTCACTTGACGTCTCATCTTTGTTTTCACTACGAAGTAATAACGTACCATCAGAATTAGCACCAATATCTTTAGCAGTGTTGACGGCATTGTTTAGGAACGTGAAACCTTTCCGGGTTAACTGTGAAGCACCGTTAGATAATAATTTGCGTGGTGAAGACAATATCGTTGCAACAGAATCATCAGGTTCTGGAACACTAGCATTAATCTCTACTAAAAATGCTACGGAATCCAGTGCACTTGCGAAAGCAAAATGGTTACATAGATCAAAACTAGCTTAGGCGCTAATCCGATAAGGTGAAGCATATTTGCAGAACACCCGAGGCTTAGGCTTCTAAAACCATGGTAGATGGCACGGTTTTTCATTCATTACTAGAAAAGATGGGAG